GATATGCAACATGCAATAAAATATATCTCCAAGTTTACAAGAAAAAATATGCAATGTTATAATAAAGTTCAACATATTTTTTTGTCTTTTGTAGTTAAGCAAGACTCAGAAATAGCTGCACCAGCCAACCCAGCACAAATAATAAAAATCAGTGTATAAATGATTTTTGAAATATACGGTTCAATATATAGACTTTGGCTGTTAACAACATTTGGAACAAATTTCCAAATTAAATTTTACTGCTTGTGAAGGAGGAGAATCACTGATGCATCTTAAAAGGAAGCCATGCATGGATTTGAAGTTGTTTCTATACTAGGGATGCATGATATGTTGCTGTTGGCATCGGATATCGGCTGTTATTGGCCATTTTTTTTATACATTGTTTTTGTGCACTTTATAAATGATGCCCTAAAGGCAAGCATCTGTCTATAAATATCAGTATACTGTAGTACTCTCGTGTTCTCAACAATAGGAAAGCATTCAATAAATGTATGTTTGAGCTCATTTTTGGAAAGTATAAACTCTATTGAAAGTGTTTGGGTTGAGTATCTGTAGTTCCACCAGCCGCTATCCTTAGAACGTCCTCACCAACTTTTATCGCAAAGTTACACCCTAGTATAGCGCCAGCTCACGAGATCATCCAGTCAAATTGATTCAAAGTTTTCTATCTAAGGAAAACCAGTTGATCGCATTGACTCATTGATTCGAATGTAATCCCTCACACTAAGCATGCTTGTAGCGACAGTGGAGAGGAAAAACTCCCTTTTAAAGCTACAGTGTGTAATAATTACAGCGATATACAGTCAGAAATGTAATATATTATACATAACTATGTTATTTATCATCATCCAGGAGCTCAGCCTCTTAACCTTAATATTTGCGTTGCCTTAGAATTCGTTATTTATAATTACATAGGAGCGGGTCTCGCAGCCATGGAGGCAGACATCTTTGCGCTACGGCAGCGCAGAGCCAACAAACTAGCGATTGCGAGATCGCCCATTACGCTCGAAAGTAACTACGGCAAGTTGAGAGAGATGAACTGAGACGGTACTGAACAATAGATGGCAGTATTAAAATTATCTATGTAAACAAACCTCATCACTTGAGAAGGTAGGTGATGCGGACGTCGTGGAAGACATTTTGTCCCGTAATGCTCGCCGTACTGTTGGGGGGGAGAAGCGGTGGGGGGGAGATGTTCATGTTGCTGCGGTCTGCAGTCTGGACGTTAGATGTCGCTGAAAATTACACACTGTAGCTTTAACAGGAGAAAACTTCCAGCAGAACCAGGCTCAGTGTGAGCGGCCATCTGCTGAGACCGACTGGCGTTCAAGGAGACATGAAAGGTTGATGCTTTTTTCAGCTGCATCATCTAGAGCCAACAAGGTCTACAGGGGATCATTATATTGGCCAATGTCCTACAGTAGAATAACAGGAGCAGCGTTCAGCTTAACGGACCTTTAAGCTGTGGACCTCCTGCCCTCCTCTGCCACTGATCAGAAGATGGTGCTTCTCCCTCCACCTTTCACATGTCTATCTCTAGAAGTCAAGTAAAGAGGCAACTGGAGATAATAAATCACCAGCTCCTGATGGTGTCAGACCCAGAGTCCTGAAGGCCTCTGCAGAGCAGCTCTGAGGGATTCTACAGCACCTCTTCAACGTTAGTCTTAACCTGGAGACAGTTCCAGTGATGTGGAAGACCTCCCGCCTGGTTCCAGTACCAAAGAAGACTCAGCCAAAAGTCCTCAGCGACCATAGGCCTGTTGCCCTGAGAGAGTCCTGCGCTGTTGGCTGTACCGATCAGGCTGAAATAGGGCCCTTGTGCTGATATGGTGTCTCTAGTTAGGTGGAGTTGATGCACCTTCTGAGAGCAGAACTGTTCTCATGCATCAGGAATTGTGCAACTTTTCATACAGCTTTGACGTTTCTTTCTGACTCCTGGATTTGACGTCAACAGGTCGTTATTGTTTGGATTGCCTTCTAATTTTTAATCTTTTATCGCCAAAGCGTACTAAAACAAAGCAACACTGGAAAGGAACACGACCCCTTTCATATATTTAAACTTACTTTCCAGGACTGATGAGTGCAAAGCAGTTTTTCCTCTTTCACTCCAGGCTTGATCCTGTTTCCTTTCATTCACCTTCACAACAGGCCGCGTTTCTTTTGGGTTATGCAAAGTTCAGCTCGTAAACGGCGCACCCACTTGCCACGCACGTTTTTCCACCAGTCTTGTCAGGCTCTTTAATAAAGTCTTCAAACATTTCATTATCTTTTGTTGTGTGTTCCTCGCCGCTCGGTTTTAAGTGTCCCACTTCCTTCATCCATTCCTTCCTGAAAAAGGAAACCTAAGCTGATAAGACAGATCTAAAAATATCTCATGTTGTGTTTCTATTTTTAGCCTCTACACGCTGACTCGGCTATTGTTGCATCATGCCTGTGACCTCATTCACTGCAGCCCATGAACGTGCTGCTGGCTCACAGTGTTGGAACTGAGATGATGCCATATTAAACGTTTCACGTCTTTGGGTCATGCTGCAATAGCCACATAGACCAAACACTTCACACCCACTGGCGGGTTAGACTTGGACCCAAGACTGCTGCAGACTTCTACCATCCTCCAGTTTTATTTATCAGCCACATCCTCTGCTTTTTTCCTCCAACAAATATTTATTCACACACTTGAGAAGAAGACTTGATGCTGCAATAGGAAGAAATCCAGTGTGGTTTATCCAAGGCTCGCTCTCACAGCTGTTTGGGTCAAAAGGCAGCGAAGCTCGATGCTATGAGGAAGTATTTGATTTAGATGGCAGTTGGCTGAATCCAAATTGTAGCTCCTGTTCCTGTGGGAAACCGTATCTGGAAATGACCTGTTCTCCAGTTAGCCACAGCTGCCCTGGGGCCCAATCAGACAGGGCCCAGCGGCGCCAGTTGTGCAGTGATTTGCTCGGACCCTTGTGCACGACGGTGATGTTTCGCTACACAATTGGCTTAATGTTGCCACATGATGGAAATCATTGGGGTTTACCAGACAACGATAATAACATAATCAGCATCTGTAGCATTAGCGTGTCTAATGATTGATGAAGTTTTACCTATAACAAATAATAACAAAAGAATTATAAATAGTAAACCGATAATAAAACTAAAAAAAAATAAGTTTGTGGTGAAAAAAGTAACTGCAAGACCACGATGTAAAGGTGGAGAGCTGGGTAGCGCTTTGGCTAGCTGTGCTCAGTAGCTAACAGGTTAGCCTACGGTATTTTAGGTCGGTCAGTTAGCCATATTAAGCTACACTACTTTTAACTCTGTGTTAAAAACAACCGTTCCTTTTCTACTAGTAGAATAACTGTTGTTTTCTTTGTCCATTTGTAAGATGTTCAATTTTTCCTCCTCTACCCTCATAAGTAAAAGAATAAAAATGAGCTGAGACTTGTTATGTCACCGCTCAGTCTTAGAAGTCAGTGCTTTGCTCCAAGACTGAATATTAATGTTTTCTACTTTAGACTGCATGCTTAGTGTGATGGATTGCATTTGAGTCGATGAGTCGATGCAATCACCTGGTTTTCCTTAGATAGAAAACTTTGAATCAATTTGACGGTATGATCTGGTTTCATTGTAAAGTGTTGTGAATTGGCAATATGTAAATGAACAAAATTGAATCGAATGAAATGTAAAATAATAACAAAATAATAACAAATATAGTTAATAATATGTTGAGACTCCAGAACAGATCTGATCCTTAAGAAACGGGTGAAATACAGTTTGTCCGAGTGGAGTTGCTATATGATGATGATGTCATAAGAAGCGAGCAGATCTGGTACCTACACCATCAGTAGGCAATGCTGGTCAAGTGCCTTGCCCAAGGGCACAATGATGTTGAAAGCCTTAACCGACACATCTCCAGTTGCAGCATAAACTCCTTTATAGGAGTGAGTATTGGCACGGGTGTTGCGATACAATAGTTGTCACGATACTTGGGTCACAATACGATATTATCATGATAAAAATCACTGTATATTGCTATATTTTCCTTAGCTATCAAATTTAAATGTATGAATAATAAAGCAAGTTCTGCATGTATTTAATACCTCTGCCAGAGGTAGCCCGTTTTCCCGCATTGTTTTAGGTAAAAATGTTTTTGTTTATTTAAAACCGATATTAGGAACTGAAAGATCAATGTAATATATGAAATGTCCTCCATAAAAGACATTTCATCCCAGCACTGCGTTTCCTGAGCCCGTAATATCATCAGTGACAACCACCACCACCTAGACTGTTCCCCCTGCTGCCCTCTGGGAAGAGGCTTCACAGCATTCAATGCAGGACCAGCAGGTTCCACAAGTTTCTTCCCCACTGCCATTAGACTGCTGAATGTTTTGTAGAATGAGTTATTGTATTGTATTTTATGATTACATTTTATTTTATCATTATCATTATTTTTATATATTTATATATATATATATATATATATATATATATATATATATTGTTTTTTTTATGTTAGAACTGTACATTTACAGTCATTTTTACTTTTTTTAAAGGCTGCACTTTTAAAAGATGAAAATGTCGAGTGAGCTGTTTCCAAACCAAATTTACAAATAAAATCTGCCTAAAGTCCAATATTGGGCACCCAAAAATCCTGGGTTTCCGCGGGTCATTAAAAATCACTAAAAGTCATGAAATTATTATTTTTTAATTGAGGCTTGAATTGGCATTAAAATTCATTTAATTTGATAATGGGGGATTTATTTATTTAAAAAAAAAAAGCAATTTAATCAGATATATCGCAATATTTTTGCGCAGAACTGCTTCTGGTTGATCTTAAAGCCATGTGTTTGGAAAAGAAGCTTATGGTGAAGAAAAGGCTAGAGTGCTAATGCTAATAAAATGCTAATTTCAAGTGGCTGGAAATCGAGGAATTCGAGACATGGCTGCAGCCTGTCGATGGTAAAGATGACGAAGTATTTTGCCGTTTATATATGAGAGTCATGGGTACTTGTTGATGGGATTAAAATGATTTCTAAGAGCATTAAAGAGCATTAGAGTTACTCATTCTTGTATAAACCCTGATATCGCCGTATTGATTTTTTCCCCACACATCCCTGCTCATTTTTCTGGCACAGCCGTCGCTCCAATATAGCTCCTAACTGCCGATGGCAACGTCAGGAGGTCCCTCTGCTAAAGGAGCTACGATAGGAAGCTTCCTTCTTCCTTCCCGAATACAGCTGGCCGGCAGGAAGGAAGAAAAGAGGAAGCTTCCTCTCTCCTTCCTTCCTGCCGGCTGTATTCAGACAAACCTTATCATGGAGACTTCTAAAGCGCCTCGTTTCTTCCACACGGTTAAATAAACGATCTTAGGGTAATACCCGCCTCTCCGCTTCTGTTTGCCGTTTTCTTTGCATCAAACTTTTCTGCCATTTTTTAAACTTTTACCTTAGAGTAACCAGTCTGATTCTGGTTGTAGAAAACAGGCGGGAACACGGAAAACGGTTCAGAGGGAATGTGAACCCAAAGATGGGCGTGTTGGGCTTCTGTAGAACCATGACCTTAGTCCAGTAGAATGTCCACAATCATCTGGTTGCACAGCATGTGTGTGGAGTTTGAGAATAATTAAACTGCTTCTGTGAAACCTATAAATTAGTGAGAAATAAGCAGCAGCTTTAGTTTTTCTTTCTGTTGGGCTCTTTGATTAAACCTGGGAAACAATGGCATGTAAATTTCCCTCAGAGGCCGCTGCTATTTGGACATGCCTGACCTTTACCACAGCTGCTTCTGAGTTCCCCACTCAGCTCGGCTCTGGCTGACTAGGCAATGAAAGGCCAGCAGGAGCAGGTCAGAGCACTGCTGTCTCTCCTCTTTAACGACACGTTGCTACGGATACGACCAGATATAGATTTAACACAGTCCTAATGCTGGAAGCTGCATTCAGGCTGCAAACTGTGTTGCTCCCTTCCTATTAGACTCCATCTCTTATTTTATCATGTATTTTGATATCTGCAGAAACAAAATAAGTTTTCATCCAAATAAAGATCAGTCGTGTCTGATGAAGGAATTCAGGGAAGACGAGCTCAGCTGACATTGCGTTTTTGGAAATGAATCTTGGAGGAGATAGTGTTTGGACCCACTCTGATTATTTTCCAAGTTTTGTATGACTTTAATCAACATTCTCCACATTTTTAACTGTTCCCATCTTTTCTGAGCTGTCGGTGCTAAAGCAGCAGTAGAAACCAACAGATCTTCTGTTTTTCTCAGCAGGCTGATGGAACCTCCCTCCAAGAAAGAGCTGCTTCCACTCATGAGGCGTCCAGACGAGTGGAAGGACCCATGGCGACGGTCCAAATCTCCCAGGAGACGTGGCGGCCTGGGATCGCCACCACGAGGGCGCCGCCGCCATCGCCCATCAGGCTCCTCTGTCTCCCTGTCCAACTCCTCCAGGTAGGAGGACAAAGAAACCAGATAATACTGGTTCTGATCACGGAGTTTAAACAAATACTCAACAACTTAGAATAATAATTAACTGGGACTGGATGTCAATTGGATTCAGATTCTCAACAGGGTTCCCGCAGGT